TATAAAACTATAGACATTTTTATATTCTTGATAGGAAGTGGATTAAACCATATAATATCTCTCTTTCACTTTTTTCTTCTGATTGCCAGAACTGTATTTTGTACTCAATATGTTTCATAATCTATTTTCGCTTTGATTTAAATTTCTAAACGACTTAATATCATTATCTGTCTAATTGTTTAAGGATAGGTTTGATAATTGTTGGTCCGAAGATGTACTAACGGAAATTGCATTTTATTTTCTAAACATTGCAGCTACGATTTAACGACAAATTTCCGGCAGGCTACGGTCTTATTTATCCCCCCGTGACTGCATACAGTCATAGAACACACCAGGAACTCCATAACCAAATATAACCATATGTACAGTAGTATGTCTCATACCAGCAGTGTTGAGTCTAGGGCAATTTAGCCTAACCGTATCCATCCATTTTCAGGCTGGTTTTGAATTAAAAATTTTCATTCTCCCCTACTGCTTGTAACCTCAAGGAAAAAGAGCCTAGTAAACACTACTGTTTAATTCTTAGCTGTGTGGAAAAGTGATTGATTTTCCCAAGTGTATTTATTCGAAACTGAACAAAGTGAAATTATTCTGGATTATCTTCGCCGGTTTCGCTTTGCGCGCCACTCTTACATTGCAAAAACACATATACCTACAAAAAAGATTATATATGTCTTTGGTTTATAATGTGTAGCCATTCATATTTGATGAAGTCACAGACTTGAACATTAGACTAACTTTTCTGTTCCTTATCTCTGAAGATTGGTCCTCAGATAAGGACACCTGGAAATGTTCTACATATACCTAAGCCATGGCTTGGATGGAACTTCAGTTACTGAACAAAACTTGATTCGGTGTATGAGATTCGGCTGAGAAATTCGTAGGCTGACTATGAAGAAGTGTTGTTACACTTGTCCAATCTTGGATGCATTAATATCAATTGTTCTTAGTAATAAATGCATTGCTTCCTTCCAAGTAAACTGATATCTGACTGTTAAAAAACTTCAAATATAACTTGTAGCGACATTTCTTGACAATGGACAAAATGTGGCATCATGTTATTGTCAAGAACCCGCGGAAAAAAATGTTTAGCCTCAAGGAGAATCATGGTGACATTAGTGGTGACGCTCCAGATTTTCAACAGTAAAAAAATGGGCAGCTGAATTTAAGAGGAGGTGAGAGCGTCTTGAAGATGACACAAGTACGGGACTATCGGAAACTGTCACCACCGTGAAAAACATTGATCGTTTTAACGGATTACTGGTGATTGACTATATATGCTATTAGCGAATTCCGTGTGAGATTTCTGCACAATGGACTTTGCATGACGAAGATTCCTGTTCGGTGGATATCACATATTCTAACATCTAATCAAAGGCACACGAGAGTGATCACTTAACAGGGGAAACAGACATGGTTTGAAGAAGATCCAACTAGTTTCCTCAAACGTTTTCTTACCTAGGATAGGTTCGAGAGGCAAAAAGATAATGCATGCAATTAAAACACCCTTCTTCGCATGCTATAAAGAAGACCATTGTTGTTTCATCTGCAGGGAAGGGGATGATCTCAGTTTTTCTAATGCAAAATACCTTCTATTTATTGATCTTCAAAAGGACCACATCGTAAAGAAATATATTAAGCCAAATTGTAGAGGCAGTTACGTAGGCCTACCATGACCAAAGGCCCATGAAAACTGATGAAGGGGGTCTTGTTTCATCAGGACACTGCGCCAGAATACAAGTTCTTTGAACGGGTTGATCACCATCCATATTTTCTTTATTTGGCCACATTTGACGATCACTATGAAAAAGCAATATGATTTTGCAGTGATGATGCCGAGATATTCGCTGTTCGTTAGTTTTTGAGCTAACAGGGTTACAGCTTCATTACCAATGGGATCCAAGCACATCAAAACTGAAGGAAGAAGTCTGTTGACCGCAAAGTGTATTATCTTGAAAAACAAACCTTATCCATGAGAGTATATTGATCAGCCTATGAATATTTCTGTCGACACTTTTATTTGTATGCATAGAGTCATTATTTACTTATAAAAGATTGTAGAAACCGGATTCTCTGCTTTCTGTCTCTTTATGTAATTAGTGGTCATCGTTATTCATAACTTCTTTTCTTTTATTGATATTAGCAATATTTGATTCTTACGATACTTATTTGTATTTCTTGTATTCTGTCCTTTAAAATCTTACTGTAAACATGTCAAGAAGATTACAACCAATTTCCCGACATTTTTCTTTGATGCACCTTGTTTCTGTTAATTTCTTTATTATACCCCCATTTTTTACAGTTATGTTTGGAGTGGTAGAAACGTATTTTGTAGTTACTCTTCTATCAAAAACTAAACTTTTTCCAAGTTCTGTCCAAGCCATTAACAGTTTTCAGTTAAAACATATATTGTTCGTTTGATTTTTATAGGATACTAGCAGGCTCGCTATTTCTTTTGTAAAGCAAGATATAGTCATTACAAAAACCTTAATATGAACAATTCTTTTATAAATTGCCTTGTTATAATTAAGCAAAAATTTTACAAATAGATGCCAACTTGTTTAAGGCCAAGTAAAATGCAAATTTCAAACACTTTTCTGAACTATATAAGAAGATATTTCTAAACAGAACTATTTTTGATATGAATATCAAAACAATCCTCGAATAAAAGAACATTAATAAAGAACTCTCCAGCCTCTTTACCACAGATGAAATGTCGCAAGCTTACCTCTATCGCTATTTACAGCTCATGTTTAGATGAAGTTCATTCTTTAGTTGCTAAAGTTCAACCATTTTCACAACATGCTACTTAAGATGGATCATTCTTAATTATTTCTTATACCAAATGTAAAGAGAAACTTCAACACGGAATGTTTTTCAGAGAACTGCAACTTTGTGACACATTCCCTTGCATGGATGCTTAATTGAAGACTACAATCTTCACTTCTTCAAGACAACGCACAATCTTAATCTATCATAATTAGCATCATGCTCTCTAATTCCTAGCGCTTCATCTATACCTCATATGACAAACCACATCACTAATAATCATTCTTACACAAATCCTATTCGTTGAGTGTTCTTTCTTGTTTTATATTGATTGATCTTAGTGCTATAAAATAGTCGTATGAAACATGTAACTTAGCAAATATACAGTATAATTTCACATATAATTGACCTATAGATAATACGAGACTCTAAATCAAGGTAAATTTTCGAGATTTTATCTCGTAGCCGTAGTATAAGACGACCGAAAACATAGGTTAGCATACCGTATTTAGGCTTGCCTAAGCCACTTGCATCAGCTGATGATGATTCCGATGAGTAGAAAATAAAGCCGATGTTATTACAAATATTGTTTTGCTTAACTTTTTCGTTATCAATTCAAGAGGGATAAAAAATCTTTATAAAAATAATAATAACGATTTAATTCTTACATCAAAAATCTTATGGCATCTTAAAAAGCTTATAATGAATCAGATTGAAAAATAAAGTTTGGATATTATACTAAAGGTTGTTGCTATTTAATATAAAAATGATAATTAATTTTAATTACAAATATAGATTGTACGTTACTCTAAATGTTATTATTTAACACTACTATGAGAAATAATGATTGGCGTCAATGCGCCCAGAGTTCTACAAATCAAGAAGGGAAGATTTGTTTACGTAACTTATTATTTGTGCGTATTGCTCAGCGGAAGTTTTGTAAATTGCTGTGTAATTGTCTCTTGAATATTTTATTTTAATGTGAAATCAAGAAATAAAATTACTTTTATTACATTTATAACCGGAGTATAGCATTATAATGTGAATCTTTCAACTAGAATTATTTACATCCGTAGTTACAAGTTACGAGGCAGTCTTTAGCTTACCGCGATTCATGACACTAGCATACTGGCCTAATTACCAGTGCTAATGCATCTTATGATTTAGGGTTAACTTTTGTAGCCGTTGTATTAGACGACCAACTAATTTGGGGGTATTTTCTTAAAGTCAAAGGTCGCCATATACACTGAATTATAAGTTACTATTTTTCTAACGGTTTCCTTAATTTTATTATGCTGTTAATTCAAGTGCAAAACTTTATTTTAACCATTTTTGGACGACTATATTCACCTGTATTTCATTTTATTCAAACATTTTCAGGATGTTTTAATTTCGGTGCAACTATAAACTTATTTTCTCAGCGTCGCTTAATTGTGGCGTGTACTTGTGGATTAGGTGACAAATAAAATGGTGAAGATCAGGAAATTTCTAAAGATAACTTGAAATTACCTACAGAGAAAGAAAAGCGAAAAATATCGGTCGAGAGTAAAAGGGTAAACAAGAATGTATCACAAAAACCAGATGTAAATATATTGCATAACGATTTCAATTTGTCAGCAGACGTGAAGCAAAATTCCGCTCCTGATATAAGTAGACAACCAGTTTCTTCTAGAAACGAATTTTATACCAAAAAACAATTGTGATTACTAATCGATGCTGATTGATTTGCATTGATTTTGGATAAACGCACATCTGAAACTTATTAAGAGGAAGAGATGAGGCATATTAACAGTTGATCTAAACTCAACATTGGGTTTTCCAATATAATCTCTTCTCCGGTCCTGTAAGTACAGCCACGAGGATTACATTTGTCTGCCCTGGCCAACCTCGTTGTTATTGACAAATTGAGGATAGGATATTGTATTAACCGGTAAATTTGCGGGTTTAATTATTGCAGTCTCAATGTAGAAAAAAAAAGTTTTTATTGTTTAGACGGTTTACGAAGATATATTGTGTTTTGATCCCCAGAAAATTAGTTCGGTCGCCATCATAGGAAAAAGCTCAGAGGAGTGATTTTGTGAGTTTATTTCTTTATTTGGTTTTCGTGATATTATTTGCTGTATTTTAGGACCATTGTAAATGGAGAAAAACTGAACGGAGTAGGAAATTTAGCCTAGAAATAAACAAATGTAGATAGATAGATACTGAGATGATATCTAAAACAGGTCTAGCTAAATATAATAAGACAGTGACAGATATAAAACAATCCTAGCTAAAAAAAAGAATGATATAGATAAATAGAAGGAAATAGAGCAAGAGTGATATATAAAATCATTCCTAGATAGATAGATAGATAGATAGATAGATAGATAGATAGATAGATAGATAGAAAGAAAGAAAAACACACTGAGAATGATATATAAAAATGCCCTATTCAGATAAAAAATGATAGATAGAAAGAAAGAAAGAAACAAGCCTGTACTGATATATAAAAATTGTTCTAGCTAGATAAAAGTGGCTGCGATAGATGGGTAGATAGAAAGAAAGAAAGAAAGAGACAGACCGATACTGATATATAAAAACAATCCTAGGTAGATGTAAAAAATGAGACAGACAGACAAACAGGTTCTATCAAGATAAAATAGACTGATACAAATAGGTAGATAGATAGAGACTGAGGTTGATATCTAAAACAGATAGAAAAACATATATAAAACATTACTAGTTAGAAATTAGACTGTACTAGCTAGAAAATACTGAAATAGATAGATAGATAGATAGATAGATAGATAGATAGATAGATAGGTAGAATGAATATAAAATGGAGAAAAAATAGTAAAATTGCGATTCTGCAAGAAAATGAAAGCGGCGAAGAAAAACAAAAAATAAAAGTGGAAGAAAAGAAAAATACAAGAGCAATAAAATAAAATACAAACATATAGAATCGAGGAATATCGAAGGAGGATAATGTTTTGTTTAAATTGGTATTAAATGATAAAGGACAAGAAAGATATTTAGAATAAAGCATGAAATGGATAATGATAAACTCACAAGATATGCAGTGCGAACTTTAGAACTATACAAACTAAAAAATAATGCGGGTGGAAAAAATTGGAAAAAGATTCTGAAGACAAAAATATATTGAAGTCAGAAAGAAAATCAATCACCAGAGGAGAATTAGGAAAAGGCATTGCTGAAGGTGGGGGGGGGTAAAAGTTATATTTATTTCGTGAAAAACAATGGATAAATAAAACAAAGAAAATTTACAGAGAGAAAAAGAAAGTATGCAATTTATGTAGAAAAAAAATGAAGAAAACGAATGGTCGAGAAATAGAAATAGAAAAGGAAGATAGAAATATATGGAGAAAGAAGAGAGAGAGAGAGAGAGAGAGCATATGCGAATAAAATTAACACATTTGGAATTTCACGCACAAAAAAGATGCATGTAAAAAGAAAATGAAGAAATGGAAGAACAGTTGATTATAAATGAGAAAAGAAACAGTCGCTATAAAAGGAAGAAAGAAAAACAACACAGAGGAATAAAAAAACAAAAACAAAAAAATAAAAACAAGCAGAAATGGAGAAAACTGTGACATAGCAGGTAAAAAGTGAAAAATAGATCTGAGTTTCATTGGAAAGAATATTGAAAACAGAGTCATAGCTGTAATGGAACTAAGTAACGTAAACTAAATAAACAATAGAAGAAGACAGGAATACAGGATTATATATATATATATATATATATATATATATATATGATTTTTCTTTTAGAGTTCACTCAACAACAAGATACGATCTACAAATGTATCTCAGTGTTAAAAAAATATTAAGAGGAAAGGCAAATTTGCTGCGGTGTATGTAAATATAGAGTGTTAAAAAATATAAGCATATAACCAAATCTGCCTGAGGATCCGAGGTGTGAAAACATGGTCGCTTAGTAATATTTGTGGTATCCTTTTAAAATAATACATATATATATATATATATATATATATATATATATATATATATATATATATATATATATATATCACACCATACAATTCAAACATTTGAAGCCGTACCAGAATTACGAGGGGGTGAACGTCACAGAAGTATGAAAAAAAAAATGAAAAAGATCTCTAAGAGTTAATAAAAAAAAGAATGAAATCAATTATCAAACTTATACCTCTGTGAAAATTCTGAAACGAATGCCCAAAATCTGTGCTTCAGTAATCAAGGCTAAATTAGGATATATTGACGAGAGGAAAAATTCGTAGTAAAATACTGAATTCCTTTTTATCATATTAAAATTGACAATAAAAATCATGCCTCACACTTTTTTATGATGTATAATAATTTTCTCTTATTTAAAGTAGAAAAAAATACCTTCTTTTAAGCTCTAGTGTATATACCTCGCCTTTTTCACAAACCAAAAGTTGCAAGCCTCTCTCTCGTCTATCGCTATTTCCATGGAAAGTGTTCGCATCACCTTCATGACTGAGAACCACTATGCTACGAACCTTTTAGAGAACTGATTTAATTCTCCTCATATTCCATTGGTGTCCAACACGAGGAACTTCTTTCCCGTTCGGATGTTTTTTGGAATCAACTCACAAGTCGATTCTTCTATAAAACTAATCTTTAAAAGGCTCGGGTTCACAATTAACTTCACCATATATCCTCATAAACTGTACCTCTTACTATCTAACACTCTACCTCGTGTGGCTATCGGGCTTTGTACATGGTGAACATCTTTGTAAAAAATATAGATATAGATAGATAGATAGAAAGAGAGAGGGAGGTGGGAGAGAATAATAGAAAGCTGATCTTGACGGAAGATTAAGAAACCTGAGTTTTAACCACATAAAACTTGCCAGTCCCACTACCCGTCATCCTTGCTTATGCGACCGTTTCATCCTCCATCGTGGACTTCATAAGGAATTTAATCAATGTAAAAGTATTGATTCTTTACGTATTCACGATTCCACCTATGACTATGTAGTTGTATTTGTTTAGTAATTTCAGAAAACAACTAGAATTGTTATGAACAGCCAAATATCGCCAATAGAGATTTAAAACTGAATGGGATGTTTTACTTGATATCATTGTTTAGGCTGTTGTTTTTTTCCTTTTACTTTCTTTATTTCACTGTTTATGAATATTCTATTAACTTTTCATAAAATGCATTAACGTTTTAATTGTGCAGAATCTTCCTGATATCAACGTTCTTCCTGAGAGCAGTAATGATAACAGTACGAGTCGAGAATTCGACTTCATAAGTGGATTGTCAGGGTAAGTTAGGATTTGGCAGATTCCTGGCTACGAAATACCTGAACAAATTAACCACTCACTCTATGGACCAGATACTAATTCATGAAGTTTGACTATTTCCAGAATTGAAAATAGTAGCCTTAAACAACAGTTTTCCTTGACACCCCAAAAAACGTGTCGGCGTTCCAAGAAAGTTTCCAGTAATGGCACTATCGTCTCACGAAGTGCATATCATAACAATGTGCGTGATTTAAAGTGGACAGCAGCGATTACTCAGGTCAGGTAATTTTACTTTCATAAAATTGGATTAAAAAAAATGACGTATCAATTATGTGTGCGTATGAATATATATATATATATATATATATATATATATATATATATATATATATATATATGCATGTTTCGTTAAAAACGACAGACAAGGTACTACAGTTGAGCTTTTTATTTAATTTTTCTTGTGTTCTGACTCATAAATAATTACATCGGCTACACAACCACATGTTTATCCAGACGTCTTACATTACACCTATCTGATCACAGTTCCATCAGAACACGTTTAAACACACACTCAGATTTACCCGACACTATTAGGAACATACTAGTAGAAAACACTAATATATTAACTGCATCCACTTGAAAAAAAAAAGACTAAAAATAATGGAAGCTCTAATAATAAAAAAGAAAAAGCCAACTCTTAACAATATCAACTATGAACAAAGCCACAATGTGCTAACCGTATTCGGAAACTAAAATCATCACTACCACACACCGAACATACACAGAACACACTCTACTAAGCTGATAATCGAATCATATAGATAATAGCTAAAGGTATAGCCGAAAGCGCTCGGAAATACAGAACATTCGGACAGTTCTTACACACTCTTTGTCCAGAAAAGAAAGCTCTTGTCAGAACACAAGAAAAATTAAATAAAAAGCTCAACTGTAGTACCTTGTCTGTCGTTTTTAACGAAACATGCATAAAGGAAGGATTGCTGCCTAAATATACAAATATATATATATATATATATATATATATATATGTATATGTATATATATATATACAGATAGAATATATTTGTAAGAAGAAAATATGAATAAGAACATGAGGAAAACTTATCTTATCTTATGCATTTCTATCAATCCTAGTAAAAAAAAAATTCTCCCTCTCGTTTATTAGACGTTGAACTGTACCACTTCACTTTTGTATATATATATATATATATATATATATGTATATATGTATATATGCAGAATTAGTGCTTTTTATCACACACACTCTCGAAACATTCATGTCTGCTCTCTTTTCGTATCCTAAATTAAACAAAGACAAATTAGTTTTAGGAAATTGATTAAATCTGATATATTTATGTGCTTTGTACGTTATTTTTAGATGAATAATTATATTCGAGTTTATGCTCTTGTTTTAATTAAACATTAGTTTTTTTCCAACTACATCTACAGGCGTGAATGCTCGAGAAATGTCAGAAAATATGCGTCCTCCACACTATTTTGGGCTTTGTTCGACCCTAAGTCCTACGTAGCCGAACGGTTAGGCACCACATCTCTCTCTCTCTCTCTCTCTCTCTCTCTCTCTCTCTCTCTCTCTCTATATATATATATATATATATATATATCTGTGTGTACATGCAAATAGATAGAGAGAAGATAGATAGATAAAGAGAGGGAGGCAGCGAGAGAGAGAGAGACGGCGAGAGAGAGACCAATATTTTGTAAATTTGTGCAGGCATGTTTATATCGGTTAGGTGAAGCGAATGTTCAAGATGATCTTGTTGCATTGAAATTACATTTAATAACTGTGGTGTTTATCTGTGATAGAAATTAAGTAATTGTGAAATATATGAGATTAATCAAGAGGCTTCACTGGGGAGAAAATTGCCTTGATACGGACAAGAACCGAATTTATATATATATATATATATATATATATATATATATATATATATATATATATATATATATATATATATACATAAATGCCAAATTATTATCAAGATAACTTTTTTTCTAATATATCAACAACCGTCCAATCAAATCACACAAAATTTTCACACAATTTTGGCAATACTCACCTGCGTAATCACTGACATTTTCATACTGATCTGCGCAATGTAAAGAAACTGGCGCCATATTTGTTATCAGTACGGTGATTTGAGCGAGCCAAATTATTAGAAAGGTTCAGAAAAATTCCCAAAATTGAGCAAACAAAACGTTTATTAATGTTGCACGTGAATGTTTATGATCAAAAGAAGCTAATAAATAAGACAATCAAACAAATAATAACAGATACAAACAAAGGCACAATTTTAAACAAATTAATAAGGAATATGCTTTCCCTGTTTTGAAATTACTTGAAGAAGTCGACGATCCATAGAATTTGTTAATTGTAGGATGTCATCTGCTGTAATGCCGCGAGATATGTCAAGAATTGCTTCCCATAACTCAGCGTTGCTCCTTCGTCCGTCGGCGTACAGTTTTCGTTTCATGATGCTCCAAAAGTTTTCGATTGGGTTCATATCCGAAGAATTTGCTGGCCACATCATTATTCGAGGTCCATCGATGCCTAACTAATTCAAATATTCAGTAGTCTTCTGAGCAGCATGTGAGAGAGCATTATCTTGAATAACAATGGCCTTTCTGAAGGCAACTATATGCCTTTTCATCCACAGTTCAAGATGTTCCTTCATAAACGCTATGTATTCATCAGTAGTCATTTTGACGCCATCTGGTACTATCCATGGGCCCACTAATGTTTTTCCAATAATACCACCCCAGATCATTATGCTTCCACCGCCTTGTTGGCGTCTCAAACGCTGATGGCGATTCTGTCCGTTCATTACCCAGGCTTTGCACCATCTATCTGGCCCATCAAGTGTTGCTCGAGTTTTGTCTGTGAACAAAATTTTATAGAAGTCAATTTTCATATTGTCCTCGGCCCATTTCAATCGATTTTGAATGTGATTTCTCGTGAACGGAGGCTTCGATACAGGTTTGACTGTTGTTGCTATTTCCCTCCGATACCGACACCGAGTAATTTTCGACACAGTAGGATCCCCAATGCGACTTATAAGCTCTTGACTGGTAGGTCCAGGGTTCTTCGTGGCCTCTCGTTTAAGTCGGGACATGAGGCGACTTGAAAACCCATTGGCTTGCCTTTATCTCCCCTTTTGCGTACTTGTGTAGGGTCGGAGTTGAACTTTTTCACTGTTTGATGACATCTAGCTATAATTTAAGAAATTTCTAGGGTAGATTTGCAATTTGAGAGTTCTGAGGTGATAGTTTTCTTTTCAGCATCACTTAAATTGCTTTAACGACCCATCTTTTCACTAAATTCTTAATTTTTTCCAATAATTTGGCACGCTCAAATCACCGTGCTGATATCAAATATGGTGCCAGTTTGTTTACATTGCGCAGATCAGTAAGAAAATTTCAGAGATTACGGAGGTTAGTGTTCCCAATATTGTGGGAATATTTTGTATGGATTGATTGGACGGTTTTTGAAATATTAGAAAAAAGTTATCTTGTTAATAATTTGGCACGCAGTGTATATATATATATATATATATATATATATATATATATATATATATATATATATATATATATATATATATATATATATATATATATATATATAATAAGACGTAAAGGCAAGAATGCATCTTCACACAGGATTTATTTCAACTATAAACCGAAAGAAATAGAAATCCTTCCAGGATTTGTTAATGGGGCAAACAATATTAATAAAGTAACATGACATGTTTTGATGGAAGAAACAAAATGAGAAATGTATGAGGTCCTATAACAGATCGTGTAAGAAAGTGGAAAGAAAGTACTATCAACTGGAAGAATACTATATATCACCGCTAGTACAACCAAAATTAACATTTTCATTTGTAATTTTGTGAAATGAACATACCAGGTTTTTGTCTGAAATAAGGTAGATGAAAACATTAAGCAAAATAGTTACAGAAAAGAAGGAGACAGTTTAAACTGACGCCATATTGTGAGTTAAAGCAAATTAGAAAGTGAAAGTAGAAATTATATTAGTGTCTCAAAAAGAACTTTATCTCTACTTTGTTTCAATTGCGCAACGTTTTGAGTAGAAAATCGTATGAAGGAGAGGATTTTGTATTTTATTTTTTTAACAAATTTTAACTGGATGATCTATAATTATGCAGAGAATGTCTTTTTGGTCAAGCTAACAAATTCCCCACCGCTGACACTTGCCAAAATAAACGCAATGGAAAACAGAATTTAAATAAATAATTGCTTGTACGTTTTGATCAAACATTTTCTAATTTATTTTTACACTCAGACACTCAAATTTACACCTGCTTTATGGCTTATCTTCTGAAGCGCACATTTCTAAATGAAATAATACCATCTCCCAAAATAACCTAAAATAATAATACATCACGCACGAGAATCATTTCAGCTGGAAAAGCAAAGCTGGAATCAAAGTCACCCAATCAAAGATTAGTAAGCTATTTCTACTTCCGGCCAGTCACGCGTGCGCAATACGATTTCTCTAACGTCTTTATAATCGGTTTTTCTGATACCCGTTCTTGGTGTCTGCCAAAGGAATGCTGGCTCTTGCTTGAGAATGCCCCGCCACTGTCCGGTATTATTTCGCAGATGCGTGTGTGGTTAACACTTGTTCGTCGTAAGAATAAACACTCGTATCATTTAAGATTCGTACTGCCAAATACATTAGCAAAACGAATTCTACCTTTGTGTAAAGTTGGTTTCGCTTGCCCTGAGTTCAGTTTCAGAACGGTCAAGTCAGTTAATCCGCTATTTTTGCCAAGAAAGCGATTTAATGAAAGAAAAATTGAATTCTATCAAATAGTCTACGAACCGTAAACTGGCCGCTATTGATGTATTTGGTCAGTGGGGTAAACGTGGATGATTTTCGAATAATCTCACGTAGGTAGGCATAGAGAATCCAAAACGTAAAGGAAAACAAGCGTACGCTTATATTTGCATATTTACACAATCAAAAATTATTTGCACATCAAAACACAACTGTATCGATTGCTCTAAAAAAGTAAATAAGGTATTTCCTTGTAGGCATAATGTAAAAGAAAACTTCACAAACACGGCTGCCAAATCTGAAATGAATATGTATCTATTTTGTTATATATTTCCAACAATTTATATAAGGATCTATTGAAATATAGAAAAGGTAATTATGCAATATATTCTTTTGTTTTACATGATTTAATATTATTATAAATGGCTTATTACCACACACTTTAATAATGTGGGGCATTTCTACAACATTAGTTTTGTGGAATAATGAAACATCCCATTTTAAATAAAATATAGCTATATAATGTAGTTCGTAAATTTTTTTGGTATATATTGTCTAAAGTTTTCTCTCTGGATTTTATGGGATTAATACAAAGGAAAAGATAATGGAATATTTATTTTTAAAAATTGAATAAAAATAACAGTTTATATTATTTTTATTTCTTTATGACGATTTTTATCCAGTACAAGCCCCAAGAGCTACGCAAGGTAGAAGATTACGGATTAAACTGCACAATTAATGGGGTGAAGTAGGGAAGACAACGTTTAAGAATAGATTTGAACACGTTAAGAGTGTAGTGAGTTGTTTCCACAAAGCAGCGGTTTGTGTAAAGAAGGTGTTCCAGTGGAACATATATCGTACCAATGGAAACGAAGGTGCGTGTCATGGTGGTTCTTCGCTGTGGTTAGAACTGGTGATATTAAGTAATGTAGTTCGTCTGAAAACTGTCCATGGAAATAGCGATTGAGAACTAGCGGCTACTGCCATTTCGTCTGTGAGAAAGGGCTTGTAGGGTGGAAAATAATCCATCACCCACAAGGCTGGCGATAAACTTTCGGGCCCTATCGAATATGGAAAGTAAAAACTAGGCAGTTTTTCCATATAATGGCAGCAGTAAACCATTTCGGTCTGATATAGTTCTGGTAAAGTTACAAGTAGCACAAGTTATTTACTTACTGGAGCAATACAAGTGATCATTTATCGAGTATTCTTAGAGATGGGTCATATGTACGAGTTCTACTTGATTTCTTGGTTGGTTTTAAGTCCCAATAAACCTTCAAGGCGTGGGGCTTGTTTGAAAGAAGAGTCATTCATTGCGACAGATGAACATACAGAGAGCACACGGTGATGTTGTAATGTTACTAATTTGTTTTTCGAGGCATTATATGTGAATAGGCAGTCCAACCACACACTGAGTTGGTAAATATGTCAGAAGATAATTCAGCTGTCAAGCTCTAAACATCTAGAGTTTTGGAGGTTAAACGTTATACCATTTTATAGTGAGTCCAGATATTAACAAATTACTCAGAATATAAACTTAAGCCGATCATTCATGTGAATTAGAAATAGTCTTTTGCCGAGAAGCGAAACTTCGGGGACACGTCCGTTGAACGGATCGGACTCGCCAGACTAGCCTTAAATAACTACTTTAGTCAGGACTTTATAAATGATATTTTGCAGCAATCATCTCTGCCACACCTTGTCAGAAAGCATTAAAATATCTAATAGTATATCTTCTTCAAGTAGAGTTTAAATAATTTTGCTAAGATGGGAGATAACTCAAAATAAAAATCATAGAGACAGCCACACGATTTCATTTGGACTGGTACACGTCTTAGAGTCAAAACCTTTGATAAGACTTGAGACTTCCCGGGCTGTGAATAAAAATATTACTGATTGTGCTCAGGGAGTCCG